CTGACACCTAGCACCCAGCCCCAGCCCAGCCAGGCCTGACACCTAGCACCCCAGCCCAGCCCAGCCAGGCCTGACACCTAGCACCCAGCCCCAGCCCAGCAAGGTCTGACACCTAGCACCCAGCCCCAGCCCGGCCTGACACCTAGCACCCCAGCCCAGCCAGGTCTGACACCTAGCACCCAGCCCCAGCCCGGCCAGGCCTGACACCTAGCACCCCAGCCCAGTCCAGCTAGGCCTGACACCTAGAACCCCAGCCCAGCCAGGCCTGACACCTAGCACCCAGCCCCAGCCCGGCCAGGTCTGACACCTAGCACCCCAGCCCAGCAAGGTCTGACACCTAGCACCCAGCCCCAGCCCAGCAAGGCCTGACACCTAGCACCTCAGCCCAGTCCAGCTAGGCCTCACACCTTGCACCCAGCCCCAGCCCAGCAAGGCCTGACACCTAGCACCTCAGCCCAGTCCAGCTAGGCCTCACACCTAGCACCCTGCCCTAGCCTAGCCCTGACACCTAGCACCCTGCCCCAGCCCAAGCCTAAGTGCTAGAGGACCACAGATCCAGACTGGAAGGGCACTCAGAAACCATCCAGGCCAACCTTCCATTTTAAAGATGGGGAAACCGAAGCCCAGAGACATGTGACTTGCCTGAGACTACACAGTTGGGATCAGACGCAGAGGTGGAAGGGGCCTCTAGTCCAAGCCCCTCGTTTTAGAGGAGGAAAGTGAGGCCTATAGAGGGCGGTGACAGCCCTTTCCCCACCTTGGGGTTAAAGGACATTGCCTGCCTCACACCAGACCCTGGATGGCAGTGCGATGCAATAAAGGGGAACAAGGGGCTCTACTCATTGGCTGTGGGGCCCACCCTGAGCCTCATTCCTCCTCTGGAAAATGAAGAGCTCAGGGGAGGTCATCTCTGAGGGGCCTGCCGGCCTAGACTGTCGGGAGTCAATGCTTGGGTCACCTGCTGAAGCAAAATCGGAGGCAAATGCTGCTTCTGCCCAGCACCACCTGTGTGGCCTTGGTCAAAACCCTTCACCTTCCTGGGTCTCAGTTTACCCAAGAGTAAAGTGGGCGGGGGCATGGAGCTAGATGGCCTCTAAAGTGCCTTCTAGTTCGAGAGCTATGATCCCATGACAACCCCCAGAATCTGATCATACCGGCCCCGCCTTCAACACAACCTTGAATAATACATTCCCAAGCCTGAAGACTGGAGTCTCTCTCCCTCCCTCCCTCTCTCTCTCTCTGTATGACTCTGTCTCCTCCCCCTTCTCTTCCTGTGCCTATCCCCATGTCTCTTTCTGTTGCTATGTCTCCTCTTCCTCCTCCTTGTCTCTGTCTCCCCCCTCTCTCCTCTCCCTGTCACTATCCCTCTGTTTCTGTCTTCCCCCCTTCTCTCCCCACGTCCACCCCGTGTTTGTCTCCGTCTCTCTCTCTGTCTCTCTGTCTCACACACACACACACACACACACACACACACACACACACACAC